CGGCGGCATGGGGGGGCTTCATGGAGCGTCGGCCGCTGTGGGTGCGGCTGCTGCGGCGGGTACCGCTCGTGCCGCCGCCAACGGTGTTGCCGGAGTGGCTTCGGTGGGCGCCGGCGGCGGCGGCATGGGGGGGCTTCATGAAGCGTCGGCCGCTGGGGGTGTTGCTGACGACCCGGGTGCCCAGGCAGTAAATGCTAGGAACATTGCTATGCAAGCCTTGACCCACCAATTCCCCAACAGTGGCCAGGTGGCGGGTGCAGCTGCGGCATTAATCCAAGCTCAAATGAACGAAAGGTCAGCCACGTGAGACTACGTTGACCGTGTCAACACCAACACCGACCATTTGTGTGCGAATCGTGTGCGTTTTTTTTTCCGGGGTTGCTTTTCGGGGGGCTGAACCGGCTGTTGCCTCGGTGATTTCGGTGTCGCATTGTGTACGTCGTGCCGCGTTGGGTGCGTTGCTCGCCGCGCTCCTTGTGTTAGCCTTCCCCTGTTGCCCTTTTTCTTGTTTGTTTGTTTCCCGTAAACAGCGGCTTCGATTTACACGTATGCTGAGCGGGGTGTTCGTCCATGACCATGAGTTAGGAGGTCGAGGAGAAGGAAGACAGCTCAAGAGTTTTTTCTTTGTTTGCGGTCAAACGGGGATGACTCCCAGTGCACAGATTTGCTCGTGGTCCAATTTTCGTCTCCCGCGTGGAGTGAGATTGTGCGGGAATGTTTCCTCTAATACCCGAATTGTTCGTCTTCTACCGACCTGTCGGGCGTGTTTCTTTAGTTTTAGGGGGATGGGTCAATAAGCACTTGCTGCCTAAATTTTCTCAGGGGGAGAGGGATCCCCTTCTTTCCTATCTCTGGGGCACTGCTGTCCCGACGCTTTCGCATAATGTCAACTAGGAACGGTATCTCCGGTATTTCTTTTTGTTCGGCTTGGATATTTAGCCTGTGGAATATCAACCCTCGAGCATCCCTATGAAACTCCCGAGCACGTCGTACGGGCGGGGGGGTCGCGAGGTATGGAGTCTTTCCCACTGGTGTCATTGATATGGTCTGGCGAACGAAGCATTTTGTCCACGTTCCATGTCGATGTTTCCTGAGATTAATCACAGGGAAAGGCGGGTGGAGGAATTTATGTAGCGGAATTGATATCGCCATATCGATTATATCCGCGTGATGATTTTCATTTGGGGGTTCAGCAGATATCCGCGTGATGATTCCCGTTTTTGGCTTGGTGTTGCGCGTGACGAGACGCCATAGAGTCATGGTACGGGGACCTCGGTATGGCCGCATTTCGTGAGAGGGTTTTTATACCAAGGAAAATATACTCGGCATTGGTTGACATAGTTTTTTGGGGGGACCGCGTAAGTAACTGTTTCGCGTAGAACAAGCTATCTTCGACGTTGTGTTCTTCATAGGAAAAGGTTGTGGATTTATTCGCGTCAAATGTTGACTAGCGAACTTCTCGAATCTCGGATGGGGGGCTGCCAGGTGTGTTATCGGGCACAATTAACAATCGGTAGATCCTTGCGGGTCAATTGAGTGTTGGAGGCTTCGTTTGTCATGTATGGGTGTACACTGCTGTTACACTCTCTTTCGCGAGGCTGCCGATCTTTCACTCTTAATCACAACTTCTTGCGCGTGACTTTGCCCATGCTCATTTTTCTCAGCGGCCGGCCTCTATGGGATGAAAATGCAAACAAACCAGAGATGGCACCTGGCCCTGCGACACGATTGTCACTGGGGGCACCCTCATGGCGGTGCAACCGTCTCTTGTTTCGCGTACGAAAACCGTTGTAGGTACGGGCCAACACAGCAGTACCGGTGTTTCGCCACCCTGCACACAACATGACGTGCATGACAAGTTTTAACCTGCCGGACCACTAAACCACAAATTGTGCAGGTGCACGTTTCGTTTTTCGGTGTCGTGGCATGTACTGCTGTAGCTCTCTTTTCCAANAATGTGGCGAAGAGCAAGCACACAAAAGACAGTCCTGCTCCAGAAGAGGGAAGAAAACTCCGCCTAAACTAGAGGCTGTTCCACACCCATCAAGCAAAAAGGTGCAAAGATGGACAGAGAGAAGAAAGTACACCGAGACACAAATGCCAAATCTGATGACAATACACAAGAATACAGACAGTTATAGTATGCTAAGGGCCAAGACGCGCAAGCCGCGGAAAGGGGAATCGAAAACAGGCCAGATACGAAATAAAAAAAGAGATCACATACGACGAGGAGACAACAACAACAC